TTCCCTTTATAATGTTGTATACAAGCGGGGGCTTCATCTGTGTCCATGGGGACACATTCTCCATTTATTTCTGATATGATGATCTGCTCTCATTGTGATGTTATGTAAGATAGGAGATATTGGGTAAATGTCAATGACCAGTTATGCTCCAGTTTCAGCTTGTTTATTTTATTTGCCTTTGAAATGTTGTAGGTATTTATGTTATACAATACTTCTAAAATACAAATACATTTATTCCAAACCCATTAAGGAGATTCTGAGATTTGACATAAATACCTTATAAAAAAGATATTTTTGAAAATGTATTTTAAATAATTTGACATAAGTCAGATTACTTTAACCTTCTTTTGTTACACCTTTCTAAAAAGAGATGAATAACAAGAAGATTCTGTCAGGATAGATTAAAGATTTCACATCTGACTGGCAAATGTCACACCATCTATTGGTCTGATTACTTATTAGATAACTCCATAATGATATCTTTTGTTGAGTCAAATTTTATCAGATGCATTATAATGTAATGTTAGTGAACCTTTGATCTTGCAGAAATTGCTTATTTTTGATTCATTTTTGTCATGGTCAATTTATTCTATCATAATTCAGAAACCTGTGAAAGGTACTGTGGATTCAGTACATTTGTATGGTATAAATTTCCGTGGGTAATATGTAAACCATGAAGTTAACTGCAATATAATTTTTCAATCCGCTTGTATGCAGACTTTTGCAAATCTCAACAAAAGAAATAGCCAGGAAAAAACAAATTGTCCTCAATCCACATTGAAATTTTTATCTCTTTTTTCTTAGGAACTAATTGTATAAGAAAGATCAATAGTCAGTGAATTCTTAATTAAAAAAATCTGCAAGTAATAGCAAGGGTTGTATTGAATCATTTCATTCAGAAGTGTAAATCCCAATTTCTCCAAAACTGCCACACATTTCCATATTAAGGAGTTATGACCCTAAAATGACCATTTTCACCAACTATTTGCAATTTTGGCTAATATCTTTTAAACTATGATTGATAAGGTGAAACTATAAATGGCAAAAAAAGATCAACTATTCATGTATTAAATCAACATGGCCAATATCAGAAGACTTTTTATAGGAGTTATTTCCCTTGAATGACAATTTTTACCAATTTGTTGCTTTTTAGGCAGTAACTCTCAGAATTTTTTTAATGCATTGTGACAACTTTATGAAAAAAGCCAGGTGAGGGATATAGGCTACTTGGAGCATCTAGTTTTAGAAAAATAGCTCTATGTTGCTGTTATCAACATTTTCATCCTTTAAATTGCACCTTGGGACATTCTAGCATGTAATTCAATCTGTAATTGAAACAGCACCAGGTTCATTACCTTAAAAGCATTAAATGAACTATAAGAATTGTACTTGTCTAGACCTATTTTGCAGTGATGTTGTTGAATTAATTACATCTTTACATGGTATTAGGCTAGATCTCTAACCAATTATCATTTAATCAAAAGAGCAGTGAACTTGATTTTCCTTTGTCAATACTTCAGTTATGATGACCTTAGTTAAGGTCAAGTTTGTCTTTGATAAGTCATCTAGAACACACAAATAATAAGATATGTTAGACAAAGTCAACTTTGATGAATTTGCAGAGGACTTGCTATAAATTGTCAGAATAGCTACCTTCATACCAAATGTGTTTTATAGGACTCAGCTGCAGATAAAACAGTTTTTACTATGATTTATTAAATATTATGAACTGTAAGTTATTATTCTTGTCATCACAATAGTTTATAATGGTAGTAAATATTTAAGTGTTGAAAGGTGTTTTAATTCTCATTGTTAAAAAATGTTTGCAATCTCTTCCCCTTCCTTCTTTGTATTTAGTTTGAATTTAAATTTGAAGTAATTTCCTCCTTTATAATTATGCTTGATATTTGACAATGAGATAAAATATTTCTTGAGTGATGATTTCCTTCTATGATATTTGCATTGAGGAAATGCTGATTGAGATGAATTCTTATTACTATAATAAAATGAAATTGTAATACACTGCATCGATTGTATTGAGAAAGGGTCTTTTGTTCGGATTAATCCCTTTTATTTTGTTAAGAAATCACAAAAAAATGATGAAAACACTGCATCATCTTTTCCAGGTTAAAAAATTAAAACTCACATTTTTGTCGAGCCTGCGACTTCTGTTGTAGAAAGCAAGACTTAGGGATAGTGATCCTTCGGCGGCGTTAACTAACTACTTAAAAGCTAGATATTTCAGAAAGGAGGAGAGTGGAGGCTTCATAGTTTGCATATAGATGCCTTATGATATGATGAAGTTTCCATCCATCATATGTCCATTGTCCTTGACCTCATTTTCATGGTTCAGTGGCTACTAGAAAAAAAGTTAAGATTTTTTGTAATGTTAATTTCTCTCTTATAATGAGTAATAGGATAACTGTATTTGGTATGTGCGACTAACTTGCAAGGTCCTCATGTCTGTCAGACAGTTTTCTCTTATCCTCGACCTCATTTCATGGATCAGTGAACAACTTTTTTTTTGTGGTTAAGTCCATATCTCAGATACTATAAGCAATAGGTCTACTATATTTGGTGTATGGAAGGATTGTATGGTGTATGTGTCCAATTGGCATGTGTCATTTGACCTTGACCTCATTTTCATGGATCAGTGGTTAAAGTTAAGTTTTTGTGTTTTGGTCTGTTTTTCTTATACCGTTTGCAATAGGTCAACTATATTTGGTGTATGGAAATATTTTATGATGTACATGTCAGTCTTGCAGGTTTTATTTAACCTTGACCTCATTTTCACGATTCATAGCTCAATATTAAGGTTTTGTGTTTTGGTCTGTTTTTCTTAAACTATAAGCAATAGGTCAACTGTATTTGGTGTATGGAAGGATTGTAAGGTGTATATGTCTGTCTGGCAGGTATCATCTGACCTTGATCTCATTTTCATGGTTCATTGGTGAATGTTAAGTTTTCCTGGTGAAGTTTGTTTCTTAGATACTTTAAGCAATAGGTCAACTATGTTTGATGCATGGAATGATTTTAAGGTGTACATGTCTGTCTGGCAGGGTTCATCTGACCTTGACCTCATTTTCAGGGTTCATTGGTCAATATAAAGTTTTCATGGTTTGGTCTGTTTCTTGTATACTATAAGCAATAGGTCAACTATATTCAGTATGGAATGATTTTAAGGAGGTGTACATGTATTTCCAGCTTGGTTTATCTGACCTTGACCTCATTTTCTTGGATCTTGTTTATGTCAATGTGATACTTGTAGTAAAACTTTATATTTAGGACTATTAACATAAAATAAATGGTCAGTAAAGCAGGCGAGACATTTCAGCATGTGCACTCTTGTTTGTTTTGTACAGTAATACATGTGTATAATTATTCTTCCAAATTAGACAATTTAATATTGAAATAGCTATTGTAATGATTTAAATGTTTGTAATTAAAATGCGGTATCACAAGAATTTTATTGAGATGGATGATGTTTTGTGACCTCTTTATAAGAAACAGCTTAGTTGATTCAATATTTCAGTTAACTTATATGGTCTGATTATATCTAATTTCAGATTTCATTCATTTAATTAAAAATATTTCAATCCTGAGAGGAAATGATGATAATTGGATAGTAATCCAATAAATGTCTAAAATCAGATGAATAAATATGAGAACAGATGGTCCTGTTCATTTATAGCCTGAAATCAATATCCATACAACAAAGGAGAAAACTGGATTAATTGGGCATAAACTTTAAATTGCAGTTGCAGGATGCACTTCCTTCTCAATAATCTAAACATTAACTTGTCATGTTTTATTGACTTGAAATAATCTTGGTTCAGATGCTGTCAAGTTTATAGTGGGGACATATAACATGAGTAGGAGATCATTGGAATTATAACTCATGGTTATATTTTATAGATTCAATATTTCTACATGATTCAGTGACTTTATGCTTTTTCATTGACACAAAATAATTGATAATGCCAGCAGTCAATATCTGATAATGCTGTGAAAATCTTTTGATATATTTGAATGCAGACATGTAGTATATAAGTTTCTGTTGAATGTTATGATGTATTTGTATTTGAAAAGGAAAAAATGAAGAATTTATTTGTTTTTTAAGGAAAATCTTTTTAAAATAGAAAGAAAAAAAAACTGTAAGATTGAATATGACAGCATTGAAGCTTCTGTGAGTCAGGAATGTGACAAGATGTACCTTACATCAAGCACTAAATGTCACACACTAATAGACAAAACTTGTCGAAAAACCTTGAACACTGGGAATATAAGTTCTCAGTGACTGACTGGAACATTTGCTGTAGATATTTTAAAAGCTTTTGTTATTTTAAATAGTTATTTGAACTTTTGAGGTTTACAAATAGAAAAAGGTAGAAAGGAAATTTGAAATAATTTTGAAAAAATTTAAGAATGGATAAGAATTAGAGCAGGAAAAACAAAAAAAAATGTAAAATTTGTAAGCCCTTCAACTCAAGCCTATAATCATATAATTATAGATTAACAAGTAGATAAACATTTATATCTAGTCAGATAACATACATTTTTTTGAATTAATGAATGTATTCATCATCATTTAATATGATATTATCCGAATGATATATCTACCAGTTAGATTAATAATTGATAAACAAAATCTGAGGAGCTAGCAGATTTTTTTTAATTTTTTTTTTTGCATGAAATTTTAATCTTAGTTTCCCTTCTTTGTACCTACCAAACAGTATTTACAAGTTAATCATCATTCCCTAAATGTTTTATAAAAGATTAATGTTATTTTTCCACCCTGTAATTCAATTATTTATATTCATCCCCATTGAGAACCTCACCATTAGCAATTAGTGTTTGTGAATGAATGATACATCCTGAGTTCCCCTGTTGTGAGCCTCTATCTAGATGATAAGTTGTAGAGAGTTATCACGTTACCAAGTTTTGGGATGCTGTAGCATGTAAATTGAATTTATACACACTGTTTTTCTATATATTTTCAGAATTAATTGCCTGTGGAATATTAGAGAAGTTTTGTGAGAGATAAAGAAATTGTTTATTCTATGGATTTATGTGTTATTTATCTATGTTGATTCTGGGAATTATTTGAATTAAGAAAGAAGGATTTATTCATTGGTGCCTTACATTTTATTTTGATATCTATGTAAGTATACATTATTTCTAGCTTTCTTATGATATGAAGTACTTAAGTTAGTTAAGTATGTAAAATGTTGTCTAAGTAACTAATTAACTAACTAAACAGATGGGCAAAATTGTATGAATTAATAGAACGCATAACAACAATTTAAAAATGCAAAACATTATGGAGACATGTAAACATGTGCAACAGTAATTCATCAAACAGAAATGAAAATAGCAAGCAGATTGACTGAACAAGCCTAGTCCAAGGCTAGTATCAACTTGTTTATAAAGCGTCTTGTGACACAAATCTCCATCCTTCATCTTATTTTTTCAAAGAATTAGAAATTTACCCTAGAAGATTAGTCCACTAAAAAGGAGTCAACATCTCAAGCTTTGGAGAAAAAAACATCCGAATTTCTTTCTCTTATTATATTATTTCATATTAATAAAATACGAAGATGTAAAATAATTGCAATAATTGAATATTACAACCTTTACCAGAAAACTAATAAAGATTGTAACACTCAATTATTGCAATTATTTTACATCTTCATCTCTTGGTCTCTGGTGGATATATCATATCTCATCTCCTTATGTATGATTATTAAAACATTTTTTTCCCCTCAAACAATGATATAAGTGAGGTCAGTATGTAAGTTCAGCTATTTTACTTAAATTTGTCCTACACTTTGAACTGACCATAAGTGTCAAACAGTGGAGTTATCTTGTACAAATATGCTTCTCAGCTGTGTCAGAATTCTATAATCATGTCCAAATAATTACCCATGTACATAAAATCTCTGACCCAGCTGTGTCAGAATTCTATAATCATGTCCAAATAATGACCCATGAACATATAACCTTTGACCCAGCTGCTGAGTTAGGATACTTTGCCATCATGTGTTAAAATCCATAATCCTGATAATGTTCCTCTAATGAAAAAATCAAATTCATTTTCTGTTGAGTAATCTATTAAACACTGGACCATCTGTTCTTCATTGGAATAGAGGCTCAAATGGGGTTAATAAGTGCATGCACACAGCACAAGGACATTATTTCTGTGTTATCAAACTTTGATGATGGAAGTTATTGGGAGAAGGAAGATGTATCACTTCAAATAGTGCAGTCAGTAAAGAGTTAATTTTTTGTCAGTCTTAATTACCATTTGTATCTTGGTAAATAGAATATTTAATAATAATTTTATTTGCAAATAAATCTTGTATAGGTCATGGAAAAACATAAAATATAACTCAGTATTAATACAATGTACAAGAATCAAGAATTATAAACATAAAACAAAAACATAGTTATGATATTGTCCAAAATTATTATATTAATAAGTTAGCTTTGAACTTTCTTTCTCTTAAAATTCATTTCATTTGAAATTAAATGTCATGTCCAAATATCTGTGGAGGAATGTTATGGAATTCAAACAATGACTTGAATGATTGTTATAATTCTGTTTTATGTTATTTTTGCTAAATGTACCATGCATGAAGACTTCACCACCAGAAATAGCTACTACAGATTTAATATGTGAATGTCACATTGTATCAAAAGAGTAGAGAAAATTCTGTTGGGAAAACAATTGTGAAAAGATAAAACAGCAGATTTTATATAAAGCAAAAACCCGCCCATATCACTACCTTATTACATGTTAATTATAACGGTAAAGTCATAAAAAATAAGAATGCTTGTAAGAGGAATAATTTTTGAACAGGCCTGCTATCAACAATGTATGGTAATTAGTGGTTAATGAGGCTGCAGATATATATTATATTTACATTAGACCAAAATCATCATCACCATTCTGGTCTGAAAGATATGGCCATGTGGTTTACAATAAGGAGGAAATATACAGGGAAAACATGTCTCAGTGTTAAGTAGAAGGTCTATAACTTCTTTGATTTTAACAGAATGTTGAATTTACTTCTGAAGATAATTTGAACTGTATAATAAGCATGATAAGTAACTTTGAATACAATGTGTACTGAATGTTCAGCAATGCTTCAAAAAATTTCTTTCTGATTCTTCTACAAAAACAAATATGGATATAATGAATTATACCCACTTTAGTGTGCATGGTTTGTTTCTAGACTACGGTTTTTGATGAAGATTAGAAGTAATTATATTCTACTACAATTATCCTGTTGAGTAAATGGCAAAATGTCAAGATTCTGGCACATTTTTGAAAATTCTGTGCACAAATGAAAAAATTTTGGAAGCCAAATTTATAAAGCAGTTTGGTATATAAAAAATGTGGTAATTGGCATGCACAAATGAATGGCTTTGTCTGCATATGTGTAAGAACACCACAAATAATATGTATAAATCCATAGAATGCAGGAATGTGGAAAGATGTAAACAGTCACAAAAAAAAAAAAATCATAAATACAAAGACATATTCACAGGTACAACACTCAAAACTAAATATTGGGCATAACAATATTCCTAAAAACTGGTATAATTAATACCCATGATGCAGGTATGAGCCAGGTGCACCATGTATCAGTATATGTTTATCTGCATGCTGCACATGTCAATGCTGTCATATCTGGTAAACATCAACAACTTAGTTTTTGCAAGAAAATGATGTAAAACAGTGCTCAATCAAATTAACATGTCTTGTTGGGATGCAGTTTGGTCTTAATTTGTAAACAAGGAGAATTGTTTGAATTGTTTTGCATTTGTCAATTTCTGGGCCTTTTATAGCTTGCTATTCAGTAGGGGTTTTGATCATTGTAACGAAGGCTGTACGGTGACCTATAGTTGCTAACCTTCTACATTATTTGTTCTCGGGTGGATTATACAGTTATCTAAATGGCAATCATACCACATCTTTTATTTTTATAGAGCATTTACTATCTGTTACCATCAGGATTATTAGTAATTCAAAGAAATTTGTATCCATTTCAACATGTTCACAGCAAACTGAAAACTTTCTAAGTGCCTTCCTATATTTATTAATTGCAATATAAAATAGCTTGATGCATGTTACAATTTGTTTGAATAATTTGTCTGCACAAGTAATCAGTGTTATTTAAGTGCTCTTTTGTTACCATTCACACCCAGATAAATAAAACACTGATATGAACCAGACAAAAATTGGTGTTAATGATTTATTAAAGCTTTATTTAATTGTCCATATCAACTGGCATTATTACAGCAATTAATTGCACCTTTCCAGGCTATAAAAATTCCAATGGAAAGCTCATTTGTAGTACAATTGTATTGATGTTTATCAGTTTTTATGATCAACTCACCTAAACCTGTAGTTTATGTTGCTGAACTAACTTATTTCATATATTAGGTAGGTATAAGAAGATTACATTACCTGACTAACGTGTTCTATATTTTTTGGGGGGCGCTGTCAGTAGTTTGCCTTCAAATGAATGATCTTACTAGATCCACATTTAGTTGGTCTTCAGGCTATTTTGCCTTACTTGACCTTGTTCTCTTTTGGCATTCTGGCTTTGCTCGACAAACTTTTGTCCTGCAGTCCCTCATGGTAGTTTGCCATGCTAGACTCAATTTTGTCCTGAAGTCCTTCATGGTAGTTTGACTTGCTAGACTAAATTTTGTCCTGTTGTCCGTCATGGTAGTTTACCTTGCTAGACTAAATTTTGTCCTGTTGTCCGTCATGGTAGTTTGCCTTGCTAGACTAAATTTTGTCCTGTAGTCCTTCATGGTAGTTTGCCTTGCTAGACTAAATTTTGTCTGGTTGTCCGTCGTGGTAGTTTGCCTTGCTAGACTAAATTTTGTCCTGTAGTCCTTCATGGTAGTTTGCCTTGCTAGACTAAATTTTGTCTGGTTGTCCGTCATGGTAGTTTGCCTTGCTGGATTGACTTTTGTCCTGTAGTCCTTCATGGTAGTTTGCCTTGCTAGACTAAATTTGTCCAGTTGTCCGTCGTGGTAGTTTGCCTTGCTAGACTAAACTTTGTCCTGTTGTTCGTCATGGTGGTTTGCCTTGCTGGATTGCCTTTTGTCCTCTAGTACTATATGGTAATTTGCCTTGCTGGACTAACTTTTGTCTGGCTCTAGTCCTTTATGGTAGTTTGCCTTGCTGGACTTACTGTTGTCTGGCTCTAGTCCTTATGGTAGTTTGCCTTGCTGGACTAAATTTTGTCCTGTAGTCCTTATGGTAGTTTGCCTTGCTGGACTAAATTTTGTCCTGTAGTCCTTTATGGTAGTTTGCCTTGCTGGACTAACTTTTGTCCTCTAGTCCTTTATGGTAGTTTGCCTTGCTGGACTAAATTTTGTCCTGTAGTCCTTTATGGTAGTTTGCCTTGCTGGACTAACTTTTGTCCTCTAGTCCTTTATGGTAGTTTGCCTTGCTGGACTAAATTTTGTCCTGTAGTCCTTTATGATAGTTTGCCTTGCTGGACTAACTTTTGTCCTTTAGTCCTTTATGGTAGTTTGCCTTGCTGGACTAACTTTAGTCCTTTATGGTAGTTTGCCTTGCTTGACTAACTTTAGTCCTTTATGGTAGTTTGCCTTGCTGGATTGACTTTTGTCCTCTAGTACTATATGGTAGTTTGCCTTGCTGGACTAACTTTTGTCCTCTAGTACTATATGGTAGTTTGCCTTGCTGGACTAACTTTTGTCCTCTAGTACTATATGGTAGTTTGCCTTGCTGGACTAACTTTAGTCCTTTATGGTAGTTTGCCTTGCTGGATTGACTTTTGTCCTCTAGTACTATATGATAGTTTGCCTTGCTGGACTAACTTTTGTCCTCTAGTACTATATGGTAGTTTGCCTTGCTGGACTAACTTTTGTCCTCTAGTACTATATGATAGTTTGCCTTGCTGGACTAACTTTTGTCCTCTAGTACTATATGATAGTTTGCCTTGCTGGACTAACTTTTGTCCTCTAGTACTATATGATAGTTTGCCTTGCTGGACTAACTTTTGTCCTCTAGTACTATATGGTAGTTTGCCTTGCTGGACTAACTTTAGTCCTTTATGGTAGTTTGCCTTGCTGGATTGACTTTTGTCCTCTAGTACTATATGATAGTTTGCCTTGCTGGACTTACTTTTAACTTTTGTCAGGTCAGGTAATTTAATTACTTTTACCTATCACGAGGCTAGCAAATATTGCAGAAACAGTTTGTTTCTATGATTTTTCTGGTTCTTGCATGATTGTTTCTAAGGGACAAAGATTGAAAGTTGCAGCCTCATCATCATCATACTACCTAAAATATTCTGTTAGATGTTTTAGTGAAGTCTTGCATCTAGCATTTATTTAATGAAAAGATTTTAAATTTTTGCTGAACCTTTCTTGTTTTTATTGTGAAGAAAATAAGAAATTTATAATTTTTAAATGATTTGTACCTTAAAAAAGAGGGGGAAGATGCCAAGGGGACATCCAAAAATCATAGGTATAAGAGAAACTTACAATGCATGGGCGAAAAAATGGTGAAAGTCCACAAAACGCTACATAGAAAATATTGTTAACTGTTATGAAGTTTGATCTCTGACACCTCTGCTGGTGATATTTTATTGACCTTATTTGACCAACAAGTAGCCAGGGGGTTGTAAACTGAACAGTTATAAATAATTTATTACAATTATTTTATTGATGTATATGCATGCTATTAATGTAGTAATATATAAATGTTGTTATCTTTCTGGTCATTGAAAGTCCATTTGGTATTTAGTGTGAGAAAGTAAAATATATCAAAGTGTCTTTAATTAATGTGGTAGTGAAACAATTACATGTTAGGATTTTGTGCAACTTTAGGAGTTTAATTTGGCATAGTTGGTAAGGTTATAAGTTGTCTTAAAGATGTAAATCATTTTAAAATGTGCATTAATTGAATTAATGACAATTGTTGAATCAAGAAGATTTCTTAGATGCACAAGTCTTTCCTTTGTCTTTTTACTTTACTGTCTTGTAAAAGGTTCAAATTTGTTATCCAGGAATGAAATAAAAAGAACACATGCTCATATCATTTTAGGGATGGTATATGTTTTTTTGGGTTATTTTTGGTGGTTTTTTTTTCATTTATTTATTTATAATTTTTTGTTTGTTTTTATGTTTTTGTTTTTTTTTGGGTTATTTTTTAGGGGGTGCTAGGTTAACAGTTCTGGAGAGTTAATAAATTTTCTGGTTCAAGTCTCTTTTGAGAATCCTTTGGTCCTTGGCTTTTTTTTTTTTGTAAAGACCTGCCTAATTTAAGTGATAAAATAGTCATTAAATATTTGCACTTTTCTTATGTTAAAGCATCACATTGTTTAGATGATGGGAACTTTTTGATTGGTATCTGATTGGTTTTACAAGCCATTATATGTCACTCAGGGTGAATACTGTACCTGAAGATAAGGCAATGTTGTATACAAGCATAGATTCATATTAGAAACATCTGTCCCATGCTTACTCATCACAGGAAAATACTTGATTATTGGAAGTCACAAAAAGAGAAAGAGAAAAGCTTTTGAGAGAATTTTAAATGTTAAATAATAGAAATGTGATACTCCAGTTAATGCTCATTGTGTAACATTTCGACACCTGTATTTAAAAAAAAGATTTTCATTAAATAATATTGATAAAAATCTTTATTTCAATTGAAAGCTATATATTTATGATATATACAAATGGAAATGGAAACAAAGGTAAATAAAACGTTAATATATTGTAATAGATGTGACTTCATGTAGATTTTATGTCTAAAACCTGTGAAAAAAATGGCCAATAAACACAAAAAGCTTATTTCCAATGCCATCCTAATAAATAAGAATCACAGATGGTCATGTGACAAGAATACTTGATATATGCTGTTCCTAATTTCTTTCATTATAGAAATAAGAAGATGTGGTATGATTGCCAATGAGACAACTCTCCACCAGAGACCAAGTGACCTAGAAATATTATTATTTAATATTCACCTTACGATCTTTAACAATGAGCAAAACCCATACCTCATAGCAAGCTATAAAGGCCCCAAAATGACTAATGTAAATATTTTGGTGATTCCTGTTATTATCTTTATGTACTATCATTATTATTTCACTGGGACAGTTTGATTTTAGCCATTAGATACATGTCTTAAAGTAGCCATAGGTCATAAATATTGGTGTAGATTTTTGATAAGATAATCAGCAGGTAAAACAGATTGATCAATTGACCATTACATTTTCACAAAACATCAATTAACTTAACACCTGATTAAAATAATTGTGTCTGAGTGGTTTGTTTGTTGGTAAATGGGTGTTAAAAGGTAATAAATGGAGTGTTAAAGATTAGGTATGGGTTCTTTAAATTGGGTTAGAATACCAGTAGAAATGTATTTGTCTGCAAACATTTATTTATATATATAAATCTAAATAAAAGAGATAAGGGGAAAATGTCATGAAACAATTGAATTGAACTATACAAGTTAACTTGAGATGAATGCCTATACATGTATGTTACAAAACCATATATTTGCTTTGAATTGGTCCTTTCATTCAAAAGGCAATAATGAATTTGCAACATCATCAACTTCATGTTTTCCTACTACATTCTCTGGTACATATATGTTCTTTAAAATGTTAGTTATGCTTTTATTGACCTCAGTCATGAAACTCAGACTTCCATGTTACAGTCAGAAATACTTAGCATTAACAAGTCTCTTCTGTCTGTCTTCAGATCTCACTCATTTGAACTTGCATATTCTCTGGTTTTTATCTTTCCTGAAATGTTGCAGGGGCTTTGTTGTTTAAGCTTGCTGTTTCCAGTGTGGGCGTCCAGCTACAGCTTTTCAAGTTTGTGATTTAATAAGCACAGTGTTTCTAGTTTATTTTCAAATAAAATGGTTAGCTTGATACATGGTGTATTTGTTAAGATGTGTACAAATTTAAAAAAAAAAATACCAAAAATACCTTATAAAAGTGACAGCTGACCAAAAATTTTAATTTTCCAACCTGTTATAAAGGTCACCTCTTTTAAGCAAACACCTGCCGTGTCAGTCACCCTTTTCTTGTTCCGCTGTAGTTATACCTATTCATATTGAATTTAGATTCATTATTAAATGTCTCCTTTCTTATCAGGTCAAGTTTCTCTGGTCACAAAGTTGAACTTTATACAGGCTTCAGAGTTCTTGATAAGTGGTGGTTAAGAAGGTCCTGTCCACCAAAATTTTGCAAAGGACCGACACAACTTGGGTATTTTTCTGTAGAAATGATAGTTAGAACCTGCAGATCTTTTTCAAGGACCACCATGGAAAAAAGATACAACTCTTAGGTTTGACTGTATTTTGATAACAGTTAATTGATGTGATATCTTTGAACATGTTGTAGATCATTCTTACAACTTTCTTCACTTTGTTTACAGATGAGCTGCCAAGGAAACATAGCTTATGATCTATTACATAAAAAAGGCTTAATTCAAAGTGTTTGCCAAAAAGAATTAGGAACTAATGATAGCTTTTTGATGTGGTAAATTGTTCATTGAATCTCAAGTTTGCACCATACAATTCTGAAGAAATAAAAGTTTATATGATTTTAGTTGTGGTTACATTACCATGACAACCTGATGAAAATAGAAGCAATAAAATTTTAATGTTTAAATTTCATTTTTATAGAGTGTAAGTTATTTTTAAAGTACAATAGTCCTTGTTTGTTATTTGTTATGTTCTGGTATTCTTTATCACAAACATAATGTATATATTTTTTCTGGTATGAATTGAATGGTGCATTTTAAGACATATGCTTCCTTTCACTGACAGAGAGAGATGTAACAGGGGTAAGGTTAAGTGCTCACAAGACTACTTGTTCCAATTGTTGTAACTACAATCCCATCCCCTTTTCCCGGATGTGTATTGAATTAGACTTATCACCACGTTTGTACTAACATGAGCAACACGACGGGTGCCACATGTGGAGCAGGATCTGCTTACCTTTCTGGAGCACCTGAGATCACCCAAAGTTTTTGGTGGGGTTCGTGTTGCTCAGTCTTTAGTTTTCTATGTTGTGTTTTGTATACTATTGTTTCTCTGTTTGTCTTTTTCTTTTTTAGCCATGGTGTTGTCAGTTTATTTTTGACTTATGAGTTTGAATGTTCCTTTGGCTCTGGTATCTTTGGCCTCTCTTTTGTATATGTAGATGTCATGAGACAGTGCTATTTCTTTCTATCTGTGCTTTTTCCTGTTGTCTTGGGATCACTGTTGGTTCAGTTGTCATACTAATGGATGTCCTCATTAAATTTATGAGCCTCACATGCATATTAAAGAATATTTGTATGTGCATTTTAGCATTAAAGTTGAATTGAAAGTGTCAACAAGCTGACATGGATGTATGGATTATTAAGCCTTTGAATGTTGATATATTTACTTTTAATTTATAATATGAAATTACAATGGATTAATTTCTTTAAACTCTCTTAACTTGTTCGAAACCATGTTAGTACTATGTGGACTATAGAACTTCCATTTTCAAACTAAGACTAAATAGTACTGTGGATTCATTTATTCTCATAGGTACCTATGTTTCGTGGATTGAAGAAAACTTGCATTTTCATGGATACTTGATTTCATGGTGATGCTTAAATGTGCATATATCCTTAAAGAAATTTGTAATTAGTTGAACATTTACGTTTGTGGTTCCTCTGTACCAAAGAAATACATGTAAATTTGTATCCAATAAGTAATGATGAATCCACAGACTATTACCACAGTTATACATAAGTGTCATTAGAATTTTAAAAATACCAAATGGCTACATGATTTTGCATTTTATTTCATGCCCAATGTATCTATGTTCATGACAATCATAAACTTGAGTAGGAAACCAAAGTAAAGAACTAATGTTAGTGTTAGGTATGGTTTTTCTCTTTACTCAGATAAAAAGATCTAACAAATTCTCAAAGATTTACCTTCTCACACCTGTGTTAGGCATGCCTTTGATATACTAACGAGATAAGTCAATATGTTAAACAATGGGATCACTCAGATCAATAGATATAAATCATATTAAATTAATATTTCGATATTTTAGATTGGATATGTAAGAATTGGTATACCTAGAAGCAATTGAGGTGAGTCTCCATTAATTTATATAACTTTATCATGCTATTTATAATAATACATTTTATGCAGTCGATTGTATAATAATTAATTTATTCATTGTTTACATGTACCTGCATTTAAATACATCATTGAACTGATTGTTTTACATAAGAATGTTGGATTCAGTTGTCACTCAATGATTTAAATGAGGTTCAGAAAGAATTTGTCCTTCAGCTTTATTTATGTATAGCTTCTTGTGTGTTAGAATTAATTAGTTGCATAGTAAAAATAATTCCCTAATATTACTACTGTAGATATTCAGTTCAGTTGTCTTTTTCCATCAGAAAAAGGTTTTAGCCCCTAACTGAGGAGGAGGAAATCCGCCGTAGCGGAGGGGGCATTAAGTTTTACCCTTGTCCATCTGTACGTACGTCCCAAAATTGGTTTCCGTTCTCTAATTTTAGTTTGTCTCAACCAAATGTTTTGAAGCTTATACACAATGCTTATTACCACAAAACACAGATCAAGTTTGAATTTTGGTGGCGTCACTTTTACCATTCTAGAGATATGCCCCTTTACAAAGGGAAAAATTGCTGAATTTTTCATTTCCGTTCTCTAACTTAAGTTTGCCCCAACCAAATGTTATGAAACTTATTCACAATGCTTATTACCACAAAACTCAGATCAAGTTTGAACTTGGGTAGCGTCACTTTTACTGTTCTGACTGTTCTTGAGTTATGTTTCTTTATAACTTTATATGCAAGCGGGGACTTCATCTGTGTCCCATGGACACATTCCCCATTTATTTTATTCAGCATGGAATAGGATGAAAATTTATATTAGTTCAGATTGAAAAAATTCACCAAAATTTGAGATGAAGTTCCCTGGCTCGTAACACCTCACTTATTAAATGGATGGTGCCATTATGAAGAAGTAAACTTAATAGTGTGTTTTAATGTCAAGAAAATCCTGTTCAATATAAAAATAAGAAGATGTGGTTTGATTGCCAATGAGACAACTCTCCAAATGACTTGAAGATTACAACTATAGGTCACAGTATTGTATGGCCTTCAACAATGAGCAAAACCATAATGCATAGTAAGCTTCAAGTCGTTGAGCTAAAACAGAAGTCAATATGATCTATTTTTACTAGATAGATCTTTGCTTGGTAATAGAAGAAAGTTAAAGGAAAAAATGATTTAACCAATATGAGCTCATGGTTTGTAAACTTGATTTTGTTTACTAGGTTCATTGAGTGGAGAGACCAGACATGTTTTATTAAACTATTGATGAGTATAGTGAAATCATTGAAGATCCAGACACTGTGGTATTTAAACTTGTCTGTGTCATCAAGTAACATTTAGTTCTTCTTTTTATTGAAAATTAGAAGGTATCCCACATGGTAAAACACAAATTTTTCCTTCACATCTTTATATTGGAAAAACAGGGTGAAATATCTATCAACAATATAAAAAATGTGGACAATTTTAACGAGAAAATGCAACAATAAGTTCCCTGGGGGCAGAGAGTGACGGATCATCTTATTGTGTTACCTGAGAAAAATTAATTGTCTACAGATTAGTGGTGTAAAATGTACAGGTTTAACCTAAGGTGTCCTGATGTCAATCTACGGTCATTAGAAATAGAGTACTATTACTTAGGAAAGTGGTAAATCATCATGATAAGACCAAATGAACACAGCCCATTGGTAATTGATAAGTTTTTGATGTTTGGTTCAAAGAGGAGAACTGAAATGTGACAGTCTTGATGACCATGTATAAGATGATCACTAAAGTCATTGGAGGCTAAAATGAGTTAAAAGATCCAATCGTCAGTTAATATCCTTGCTCTGGAGAAGACATTGTTATTTTTCCTCCATTTTAAAGATTAATCCGTTAATTTACTTTTAATGTATTCCGATTATATGCAAATGAATTATCAAGATTTTGTTTTCATGCATTCTAATTCTCAATGAAAAGAATATCGAACAGTTCAAAATTACAGGACTAAAGTAGATTTTGAAATGCTCCCCAAGCTTCTGTCTGAGATGTTTTGTCTGGATCATGTGAATGTTTGACTACTTATCAATGTCAAAATATATGTAAATAGATGTACTAAGAAATAGCACAGTGATTATACCTGGACAGTCTTACCTGGTGAATTGGATATATTCACTTTGATCTTTATTTTTGTTGATTGTTTTATGTGTAGTTTGTTTACCTTTTCTGTCCCATATAACAGGAATGTGGTGTTAATCTATTGGGAAATAATAAAATTAGTTAATTATGTGGAATAGGTATAATGAATTGTGTAAATACTGAATGTTGACAATTCTTGGATTTAATTTGTTTGGGATTACACTTTAAAGGTAAAAAATACTTTTATCAATTAAGTATACTTAACAGGTCTTTTCAATGTTGACCAACCAATATTGATATTGTTAAAAATAAAGTTAATGCCTTTGTTTGGGTTGGGTTTCTATATAACTGTATAAAACTGCATCTCTTATAGGATTTTAAGCAAGCTACCAAAGCACCTTGCCAGTATAATTACCCAGTGCCTGATATTGAGCTCAGTTTTAACAGTTTTCCATGAATAGCCTGTTTTAATTTAAAAGGAAAGAATAAGATTTCTATAAGTATAAAACAATAAGTCTGCTTGATTTCATGGAAAACACTGTCTTTCAGTCTCACATCACAAGGTAATTAATTATCTTCCTGAACATGCATGAAATATTTGCTTCTGGATGATACACAAACAACAATCAATTAAGTACTGTAAATTTCAGAAATTATTGCGAGGTTTTTATTAATGCTAATAATGCGACTGGGTGAGTATCGCAATAATCAGAACTTGCATTCTGATATCTGATACATATATCTGTATGCAGCTTTTCCAGAAATCGCTATAATTAATCTTGCATTTTTGTTCATTCATCAAAAATCCCAATAATAAATGCATGCAATAATTTCTGAATTTACAGTATTTGTCTGCCAATGTTACTATTTCTAAAGTTAAAGAGGTCAGTACTAGTCATTGCAGTCTTATATCAGTTTATGTGCCATACATTTAAAAAAATGAAACTGTAACAGATTTCTTTTTTCAAATATACTAGCTTATCGTCCTGAATATGCATGAAATATTTGCCACTGGACATTAAGCAACCAACAATCAATCAATCAAATAACTTTAATTTGATACCATGGTTGGTGCCGGTGGGAGCATACATATATTATTTAATGCCAAAGATGTCCTTTTCTTTTGATTGCAATCCATTTATATTGATACCAAATTTATGATCCCCACCAACACAGATGACATTTTCAACAAAATGTAACAAAAAAATAAAATCAAACCTCCAATTGGACAACTAATACTTGCATATCATAGGCATATTAGATTTTAATTGAAAACAATTGAAGCATATCTGTAAGTTTTTGCCTTTTCCTTTTAGTTATTCTTTTAATTATGATCAATTTAACATGAAAGCAGACCTGAAGTAAGGGTTTTGAAGCATGGAGAAATTATTACATAGTTAATACATGATAAAACTGCATTGAGACTAAGAACAGATATAAAGTAGATGGTTTGCTTGAAGATCACAAGAAATAATTTTTAGTAGAAATTATCTAAAGAAATAACAAACAATTTTCAATTGTTTGGTTGTTGACTTCAATATGCAGCATCTGCAATGCTGCACTGCAACCTCAATAGCATGTTAAATCATGGTGCATTAACAAAGTCAGCTATATCTTGACTCTTGAAAAGTATGACAGAAACTAATGTCTGACAGGACTATTGAAAAGTCAGCTTTGAAGAGGGGAGAGAAATTCAAAATATAGAAGTAACAGCTTTAAAGATTACAAAAAAAACAGGTTTATCATTTATTTAAAAACAGCCACTATTAAAGCAAACTTTCTTTTATTGTTTTGTACTTATAAATCAGGCCGTTAGGAATCTAGTTTGAATTGTTTTACATTTGTCATTTTGGGGCCTTTATAAATTAATATGCAGTATGGGTTTTGCTCATTGTTAAAGGCTGTAGGTTGATCTATAGTTGTTAACTTCTATGTCATTTGGTCTCTGATGGATAGTTGTGCAATCATACCACATCTTCTTATATTTATATTAGCAAAACAAAGGCTTATATCACAGTGGCTTCAATTCATTAATATGGAATTCTTAGGAAGAACCAATTAGTCAAGATTATCTTGGTTTATTATACTTGTGAAGTATTATAATAACTAACTGAGGCCATGTAACTACTTAGAAAGATTATATAAAACCTGATTAAATGTGTTGTTTACATGTATTCGGTCTTTGAACTATTAAAAGGTGAAAATGGTTAAATTCAATTGCTTTTATCATGTTTGAAGAAAACTTTGCTTCAAAGAAGAGGGTTCTATAAGTTGAATTACAGATGTATCTCTGAAATGTACTTTAATTGGTTTATTTATTGAATCTGTACTGATGCTTTACCAGTATTTCCCAATTCAGGTACTTTCATATGCCTTTGCAGGTTTGTGGTACATGTTGTCTGCTTACCACCAGTTAAGAAGTTCATGTAGGTTAGATTTATGGCTTGACAATCCAAAGGCTTTAAGATGAGTAAACTGAAATTGTAATGGATGGTGCATTTTAAATGCACATGCAGACTTTTGATGTTTTACCCTTCATAGATGTAGATTTACAGACTTCATATATAATTTTAAAAGACAAAGCCATGTTGAAAAAGAAAAATCCACATAATTTGAAAGGGATATTTATAGAAAGTTTCTTTAATCAATACAAACCAACTGTTGAAAATCTTCAATATTTATGGATTTTTATATCAATTTTAATCAGTAAAATTCCTCACATTCCAAGTTCTCTGTTGTAAAATATCAATACATGTAGTATAAAACACAGCTGAGTGAAAGAATTAATTGAGCAAATCTGGATAGCTTTTATCGCTTCATTATTTACAGCCTTTCAAAAAACCATTGATTTATGACGAAAAGCCATATGCATCTGCCAAAAGCACATGTAC